AACAATAAAGTACACACTTGTTGTCTGTGGATTCGCAGGTCACCGACCAGGTGGCGCTGTTACGGCTCGTGTGGTCGGAGCTGTTCGTCCTCAACGCGTCGCAGTGCTCGATGCCGCTGCACGTGGCGCCCCTGCTGGCCGCGGCGGGGCTGCACGCCTCCCCCATGGCGGCCGACAGGGTGGTGGCCTTCATGGACCACATCAGGATCTTCCAGGAGCAGGTCGAGAAGCTCAAGGCGCTGCACGTCGACTCGGCCGAGTACTCGTGTCTCAAGGCTGTCGTGCTCTTCACCACAGGTGAGCTTCATATCTCCTGAAAGTGTACTCTTGCACCCGCCGTGACTGCCCATACCCCCCCCCTTCCCCCCATTGGGCGTGTGTGTACGTTTGCGAAGCGAGTGTGTGTTTTCATTACCGTATGGTATCGAGTGTGTGTTCCCGAGCACGCTAAGTGGGTGGAGTACTCCGGAGTCCCCCTGCTTGCGCCGGACTCCTCGCGCGCCGGCCGCGGGAGGGCCCTGGGGGGCCCTGGAGGGGAGGAGGGAGGAGGGGGTGGCCGTTAGATATATGGGTGAAGGCGCACTTGCCCCAGTTCAATGTGCACTCCATACGTACGCCTCTCTTGTGTTCCCGCCTGGACCTGCATCAGCGTAATCGCCCCTCCCCGGCCCGAGCTCGGCTCCGGCGGCGCGGCCCTCGCGGTGCATCGAGTTAGTGCCCCGCCACGCCCCGCCCCACCCCGCTCCACCCCACCGCGAGCACCCGCACCAGCAAGCCCGCTGCTGCTGCTGCTGCTCATGCTGCCTGACTATGCCGCGCGCTTTCGACATTCTCGGAATCGCAGCGCACAGAACTCCGCGCTGCTGCTGCTGCTGCTGCGCACTTGGTGTAGCGTCCAGCTCGTCCAGCAGCACAAAGGGACCTGCTGCACCGCGCAGCGCCCCAGCCCGAGCGTGCGCAAGTGTGTGTGTGTTTCTGCACGTGTGTGTGTGTATGTGTGAACAGACGCAGCGGGACGCGGTGTGGGACGGGGCGGGGGGTTCGCGTCGGTTCGCGTTCAAACAAGCATTTCGTTAGTTTGCGCCTAGACCTCCGGAGATTAGGCCGCACTTGCCCGAAACGCGGCGGGTTATGGCTTTTACCCGCTTTTACCTCAGCCTTCCTCAGACCGGCTGGCGCGGCAGGGCCCGGCCCAGCTATCTTCTCCGCGCCTGCCCGAGCAGCCTCATCGCACGCTGCCCGGCGCTGCCCGGCCGCGGGGCCGTGTTCCGCGTTGCGTTCCTCCTCACGCCGAGCTCACGCCGCGCCGGAGCTGGAGGAGCAGATGCTGCGTGTGAAGCAGTTGGTCCATAGCGAGCAGCAGCAGCAGCGGCCGGCTCGTGTTCTCTTCTCTACTCTTGCTTCTCCCCCACATGATGCAGGGCTCTCCCTATCCGCCCGGGCTCTGCGATGTCTTGTCTGGCCGGGTCGCCTCCGTGGCGGCTGCGCGCGCACGTCCCTGCAGTCTGCAGTCCCTGCACTGCACTGCTGGTCGGTGAGTGCCCCTTCTCGCGCGGACGCAGCCCCGTGTCGGCGGCCCCGCCCGGACCCGTTGGTGCAGCCCGGTATGCGCATGAGTCACTCCGCACACGCCCGGGGGCCGGCCCCGGGGGCGGGGAGGGGCGGCGCCCCGCGGCGGGGCACCGGGAGCGCACGGTGCGCGGGTTCGACGCCGGCTGGATCCCCCATTTCTATAAAACCCCGCGCGACAACTCCGACGACGAG